ATAAATAAATAAATAAATAAATAAATAAATAAATAAATAAATAAATAAATAAATAAATAAATAAATAAATAAATAAATTGTCTCTGAAGTTCTTTCGCATGCCATTTATCAATTCCACATCGTTCGCTGACGGGATAATTTATGCCCGACAAAAATCTGCGGCAGGTAACTGATTGGCTAAGACCAACAAAAGAATCCTCACGCGTCCAGCCATGCCTTCGGGGGAGGAGCGCGGGCTCCTTTTCCGAACAGCGGCTGGTAATCGAGCCTAATAAACTTGTGGCCCTCAGAAAATAAAATTACAAACCTAATGAAAAAGTTGAAAGATACGATGAAATTCTAAAAGTGATAACAATACTATGAATACAAATATACGATATAATAAAAGTTAAAAACCTAAAATTATGAAAATGACGTAAATAGTTGAATTACAACAATGTTAAAAACTTCCTGACATAAAGATATAAAAGCTAAATCCTAAAATGGTCTAAAGGTTGCTGCGCTGCGAGGATCTTTTAAAAAAAATGAGTTTTTAAGCACTTAAAGGAGTCTGATTTTCTGGTATTTAGAAGCACCTTATTCCAAAGTCTTGCTGCTGATACAGCAAAAGAACAGCCTCCTTCAGTCTCACGCTTAGGGTGCGTTTCTTTAAGAAATCCAAGATTGGATTCTTAAATCCGAAACGGATTTTGCGTTTCTTTTCTAAACAGATTAATCTAAGATCTCTCGGATCATGGTGAGTCAAAGGAACCGAAGAATTCGATTCTTCTATTATGTATAGAAATTGAGAGCGAATAATCTAATTGCTTTAGTATAAATCTACTAGTCGTTCGAAACTTTACCTAAATCCTTTTCACATTCACAGACACTTCGCAAACACCAAGCGGCCACCAGTTGGTTAATACGCGCACTCTGCTCGGCTACTAACTATCTGCAACAGAATAGATAGTGCCATTCGTGATAGAACGCTAGTAGATTTAGACTAAATATATAATTATAAAGGATATA